TGAAATTTTGCCATTTGCAGTGACGTGGCTGGAGCTAGAATGTATTATGCTCTAACACAGTAAGTCAGAGAAAAACAAATACCATATGATTTCACACATGTGGAGTTTAAGAAACAAAACAGATGAACATGGGAAATTGGGGGAGGGAAGAGAGGGAAACAAACTATAAGAGACTCTTAACAATAGAGAACAAACTATGGGTTGATGGAGGGAGGTGGATGGGAGATGCGCTAGATGAGTGATGGGTATTAAGGAGGACACTTGTTGTGATGATCACTCAGTGTTGTATGTAAGTGACGAGTCACTGAATTCTGCTCCTGAAACCAATACTGCACTGTATTTTAACTAACTAGAATTTAAATATAAACTTGAAAGAAAAAGAATATTGTACCATATGAAGGATGTTTTTGAAAGGTATTTTATAAAGCTGTAGAAGAACATAGGAAAGGGCCCTGTAACTTAAATAAAACTAAGATTGCCTTTTTAAGAATTTTTTATTATTTTCAATGTTTATTTATTTTTGAGAGAGAGACAGACCATGAGCAGGGGAGGGGCAGAGAGCGAGGGAAACACAGAATCTGAAGCAGGCTCCAGGCTCTAAGCTGTCAGCACAAAGCCCGACGTGGGGTTCAAACCCACAGACCATGAGATCATAACCTGAGCTTAAGTCAGATGCTCACTGACTGAGCCACCCAGGCGCCCCAAAAACTAAGACTTCTAAAACAAAAGCAAAATGTAGAAGACAGGAAATGTAATTGAAATACACTGTTTGGCTCACCAGTGAACTATATTTAAGTTACAGTCACTAACAAGTTTTAACCAAAAATTGGGAGATATTAGGAAGATAGATGAAGGGAAGTGAATATAAACAAATGTGAAAATCCTCACTACCATTATAAGAAGCTAATAAATAAATCTAAAACCTCACAAACAGAGAGCTTTATAAATGTGACATTTAGAAATACTTGATAAATTTTAGAAAAAAAAACATAATAAAGAGTTAAAAGTACTTATCTTAGGAAATAGTACAGGATGAACAGAGGACTGATAATTTTATTGCAAGACTTTTTTTTATGTTTGCCAACTTAATAGGCACGATTGTTTCTTATTGTTTTAATTTTCATTTGATTACTAGGGAGGTTGAACATAGTGTTATAAGTCTACTGATTGAATTGCATTTTTTTTTCTGAATTATCAGTGTGTCTCTGGCCCATCCCCCCCCCCAACTGGTAGTCTTTCAGCAGTTTATTTTTTTAATATGAAATTTATTGTCAAATTGGTTTCCATACAGCACCCAGTGCTCATCCCAACAGGTGCCCTCCTCAATAACCGTCACCCACCCTCCCCTCCCTCCCACCCCCCATCAACCCTCAGTTTACTCTATTGCAAGACTTTTAAGGCTATTTAACTTTTAAACCTATGTGCTTATATTACTTTTAATACATTTAAATGTTAATTTTAAAATGTTGACTTCTCAAAAAGACCAAGGAAAGATTCAAGTCTCTTTTTTTCATTTTATGCTGTCTTTTATCCCATGTATTTGCCTTTAGATAAAAGAACTAGATATTCAGAAGAAAAAAATGATTTTGAAAGTCCATAAATTTATTGAAAACAACTTATTTTTATGTTAAATTGCATATAGTAAATGCACAGCAAGTGTTTTGATTAAATGTTAAATTTACCAAGAAGTTTCAAAGGAATAACCTTTTAAAACCTTTTTGTATTAACATTTAAATCTATTACTGGAAATTACAAAGGCTCCATGTGAAACTTTCTGAATATAATATTCCTTGTCACTCATTTTGCAAGAAAACCTTTATGAATAGGATTATACCTTAAGTTTACATTTAGAAATTTTGTTTTTCATTAGAAAGATCAATCCCCTGTGCAAGTGTTCAGTGGTAGTAATTGGTAAAAATCTCTTTATATGCACAGATTTTCTATTCTATATGACAAGAACCAGAAGAATCCCCTAATTCTCCTCAGTTCTTGCTTCTGCATAATAACAAGTCCAAATGCACTTTCAACGACAGAGAACTGGTGCCGCCCAAACTAAAAAGCATTTCAAAGGGCAACAACAAAGTATTTGTGTTAATTTTAATTAGCTATGCCTCTTTGGGGAATGTGGACACTTGAAGATTATAGAAGAGCTTCTAAATTGTGGGGAGATCTAACAGAATACTTACATTATAACCTCCTGTTATGTTGTTATCTTTCCACATTAGCATGTGTTGGGAACTGTATTAGTCTGTTATCTTCTAGTGCTAATTAATGTTTTTATTAGATCAATGTTTGTACTTTCATTTCTGGACTTAAATCAATTGATTAAATTTGCTAGCAATGAAGCATCGTTTTATTAGTGATCTGACTAAATAGATCTTGTATTTCCTTGTAAGACCCACAATACTTAACACAGTTCCAAATATATATAGCAGGCAATTAATTGTGTTATTCAATTGAATAGAATGTCTGAAGTTGCAGGGTTTTTTCCCATATTGGTAGACTTTTGTAGACTAAATGAACCAAAGACTTCAAAGGGCTGAAAACACCTTCTGTATGGGGGAAATTTGGCAGAATAGTAATGTAGTGCATACATTTTTTTAATGAGAAAGGAAAATTTATTCCAAACACAAAGGACACAAAAGCAATTGTAAGAGAATATATTCTTGAATTATCTGGTAATAAATGAGAAAACTTGGATGAAATAAAAAAGTTTTCCTAGGAAAAGGTAGATTACCAGTATTAACAGAAATACAGATTTAAAAGAAAGAAGTATTAGTATTTGGCTCACCAGACAGACATCTGGCCAGCCAAATATTTTTATATATACTCAACAGAGGTCTTTGAATATTTTATGTTATTAATTATAAAATATGATGGTAACATTAACAGCAAGCAATTCTATGGGGTTTATAACCAGGAGACAAATTGCTGAATGGTTAGGTAATAACATTTTCAGCGCTAATACATTAGGCCATATTTTTTTCCAAAATGACTATATATACCCCCACTAGCAATGTCCATGCAATTCTTAATTAATTTATATTTTTGATGTACATTGCCCTATGTACTTCAAATATAAAATGATTAAGATAGGGTTTTTTTTTTGCTCTCTGGGAGGGCAAAGTCTAGAGTTAGGTAGCAAACACACAGAAATAATACATTATGGCCCTAATACAGGTGGTGATGGTTCTGAAGAGGGATATTATCAGCTGGCCAGCTGAATGCCACCTAAAGGGGAAGTGGTTTTTCCCTATGGTGCCATGAAAGAGGTTCCAGAATGTCAGTTTTGATGCTTTACCCACACAACATTTGTTAGACTGGTTTGAAAATTCTCCTCAAATTTGGTGCTTCTAAAATCTAGAATGACATTTGTTATTGTCAAAAGGGAGTTCACCGAAATTAGCTATAAACTCCTGTATGTAGTTATAATTGAATATTTGTGTTGAGGAGTGGTAGTCATTTTAGGAGTTAATCAGTAACTCCACTTGAGAAGAATCACTTAGTGTAGTCCCTGAATGTAAAATAGAACAATGGAAAGCATTTTAGGCCAATAACCTTCCCAGTGGGATATGGGTCAGTAAACCATAGAAAACTTTTTTTTGAAAGCCTGAGTTTTAAAAATGTTTCATTTATTTTGGGAGAGAGAGAACACAAAATGTGTGCACATGTGAGTCAGGGGAAGGGCAGAGAGAGGAAGAGAGAGAATCCCAAGCAGGCTCTGCACTGTAAGTGCAGAGCCCAATGCGGGGCTCAGTCTCACTAAGCATGAGATCATGACCTGAGCTGAAATCAAGAGTTGGTTGCTTAATGGACTGAGCCACTCAGGCATCCGGAAAGCCTAATTTTTTAGAAACCTTTTTGTATACATTTTCTTTTATACATATACATTCTATGTGATGATTTCCCCAGCTGTTGGAGGCCTATTTTATTATATTTAATATGCATCATGGGAACATATAGTCCCATCAATGAACATTAATAATCAATAATAAATTACTAATATAGCTAATAATACACATGAATATTTAATAATTAGCAAATATGGCTAGTAAGATACATTTAAATTAACATCTAATTGTATTCAGTTTTCCAAATGGACACATTTAACCCTAAATTAAAAAAATGAAATCAGTCTACTCAGCAACCATCCTTCCTACCCACGTGGTGTAGAATAGTTCACCAAATGAGTGTTGTCTCCCACTTCTAGGTCCCAAAGAGAGCAAATAGAAACTCTCATTGTTGCATTTAACAAGACCAGGGACTGAACATACCAGGTTACCATACCAGGTTAATCTGCACAAAACCCTGTGAGGTTGAGTTCAGCAAAAAATGTTATCCTCACTTTTATATGAGCAAAGACAAATGTGAGTCAAGATTTAAAACTAGGTGGTCTCACTTCTGCACTTAGGTCCCTAACTACTGTTCCATGCAGCTTCCTGTTAGGTAATTTGAGCCTCACAGTAACTGAGAGAAAGACAATAAAAGCTTTTATCTCAGTTTTACAGGTGAGGAAAATGTCTCTTGGAGAGAGTAAGCAATTTATCTGATTTCACAACCCTTTTACATTTAGCTGGGATTGGAATCTGCTTCTTCTAACATCAGCCAGCAGCAAAGGAACAGCATGTTGGGGGTGAGGGGTGCTTCAGGTTAAAGACTACACATCCTCCAGAGTAGAAAGCCTGAATAAGCTGGATCTTGCAGCTCAGGAGGTGGTAGAGGGTGTGGAGCAAACAGCACCAAAGCAAAAATCTACTAGCAAGAGCCCATCACTTGGGTGGTTGGTACTCTGAGCTGGAGAGTCTTGTGTTTGAATCCAGACTTTGCCACCTTCTTGCTGTATGATCTTCAGCACGTCACTTTCTTACACCAAGATTTTTATCAGAATTAAATGAGAACATATAAGTAAAAGACTACAGAATGCCTAACATATAGAGGCTGCTGAATAACAGTTACTTTCTTTCCCAGTTGAGTGAATTTTTCTTTTTTTCTTTCCATAGCACTTATCTAGCCGGCAGAGCGTACAGCAAAGCACATCCCAGGTAAGCAGTCTAACTAGGCCTCCCAGTATTTCCCTCAGCTCTTTCTTTTAAGAGATCACAGCATGGGGATGCACCAGCCAGTGATAGCCACCCCTGATGTCTTGATTGTGTGCTGCCTTTAATCTAAATGGCCCTGGTCTCTAAGCAGATTTGCCTGGTCTCCACTCACTGCTCTGTGCAAATTTACTTAAGCACAATTAAAATAAAGTAGACGGGAGACTAAAATGAATCCATCTGGGAGAAAATAGAAGTGTCATTTAGTATGGTAGCTATTACCATCTAACAATGTAAATCAAGTGCATCAGGGTGACAGTGTCTCCAAAAAATAACTTTGAATTTAGAAGTTTGTGGAGAATTTATAAATTTGTGATCTTGTGGAGACTTTAAGTTCACTCATAAGTTGGAATTACTGTTCCTATATCTCCTCCACTCAGTTTACTTCTCCCAGCTGCATATTTGCCCACTTCAAACCAAGTATATTGACACAGTATTCCCTTACTAGCAGAGAAAACACCTTTTCTCTCTCTTAAATTATCCCCTTTGGTAGTATGAGGAAAGCCAGTCATTTAGTTTTCATTTTATTTATGACCAATACATGAATAACTAAAATTGGAATCACTGTTTTTTGCCTTCCTCATTAGGTAGATACGATGCGCCCACGTCATGGAGAAACCTGTCGGATGCCAGTGCCACATCACTTCTTCCTCAGTCTGAAGAGTTTCACCTACAATACCATTGGAGAAGATACTGATGTCTTCTTTTCCTTATATGATATGAGAGAAGGCAAGCAGATCAGGTAAAAGTTACTAGAGGTTGTGGTGAGGTTGAGATTGTATAAGGATGGTATTGGTTGGGTCATAAGCATCTCTGGCCTTCAGAGAAGATAGATGACAGAGAAAGAAAAACAAGATTAGGTGACCTCTTCTTACTTAGCAGGGAGTTTTGCCTCAAATCCCAGTTTACCTTGAAGTCACGTGTGGCCTCCTTTTTATCCTGTGCCTATTTCCACATGGAAGTTCAACCCCAGTCTTGGCTGTTACCACCTCAGAGAGAGAAGACGATGCAACTCTTCAGTGCCAGAGAAAACGCATAAGAGAAACATAGAACAAAGCAAGTTCAGCAGAGAGGTCCAGCTCCAGAATACAGTACCCTGGGCCCTGCCTTGCTGCACGCGGGAGAGAGGGTTCACAGTGTAGTAGGTTAATGGTGTCCTGTCTAAGAGCAGCCAAGCCCTCAATGCCATTCCAGCCCTGCAAAGGGGAGAGAGCATCTTCCAGACTGAAGGGAAGGTTGGTCTGATTCCATTGTTACTCTTTTCCTTGGATTGGAAGAGAGGCCACAGAACGGGTCTGATATGTGGGCAGAGCAGTGAAGCCTTTAAGCATGAGCAAGTGCAGCAGTGCTTTCATCGTGAAAGGTGGGAGGAGTCAAAGAGACATTCCAGGCTTCTGTTTCTCTACAGGCCAGCATGGCTGTGATGGGTGAGATGATCTTTATAGCCAACTTAGACTTTTAGGGCATCCAGACATTTCTCTGTGGTCATCTTCTAGGTGGGGTGGGAATAAAGTAAATTTGGGGATGCTTTTATATTGCTTGGAAACTTCCTGTATTCAAAGTGCTTTATGGGTTTTTTATTTTTTTTACTTAAAAACTGAAATCATGGTTTCATTTTTCCAATTGCATGTTATATACAAGAAAATTAAAAATGGAAGTTATAACAGTACAAAAGGAAAGCAGTTAGTATGCATGCTTCCCAGTACCTCTGTTCTTGACAGACCTTGCCCCGCAAATTAAAACACCTTGCTTCACTTTGGCATAGGGATAAAATGATACATTTACTGATGGGGGCATGTGGAATTTCCTTGTCACCAGTAGCTCCCAGCATGTGTGTCTAGGAAAGCTGTGGCTAAAGGTAGTTGTGGCAGGGATGACAGCTACAGCTGCTGTGCACAGCTAAGACTGTAGGTCAGGGCTATGGAGATGCAGATTCTGGCTGCTCCTGTTTTCCTCCTAGGTCAGAGATTTGTAAACTTATTACTTATTTTTGTATATGGAAGAATCCTTTCTTTCTTTTTTTTTTTAACGTTTTATTTATTTTTGAGACAGAGAGAGACAGAGCATGAACAGGGGAGGGTCAGAGAGAGGGAGACACAGAATCCAAAACAGGCTCCAGGCTCTGAGCTGTCAGCACAGAGCCCGACGTGGGGCTCGAACTCACGGACCGCCAGATCATGACCTGAGCCGAAGTCGGCCACTCAACCAACTGAGCCACCCAGGCGCCCCAAGAATCCTTTCTTTAAGCTAAATTTTATGAGAAAGTTCAATAAATAAAACAGGTAAAATAGAACTACTTCACTGTTGAAGGGAAAGGGGAAATAATAGGAATCTCACTGTGCCCCTTAACCCCACCCAGTATTCTGTGTGACCACTGAAAGTCCATGGGCTGCAGTTTAAAAACCAGAGCACCCTGCTTAATCATCCTTGAGTGCCAGGGATTGTGTCTTCTCTTTCCATGATCACAACACCACACACAGTGTCTGTGCTCAGTACATGCTTTCTCGGGCTTACTGCACAGAGAAGATCTAAGCCCAGCAGAGACACCCCAGCTCTGGTCCACGTGAGGTTATTAATGCATCAGTTGTTTTTTCTTTGGGCTTATTATTTGTAATTGAGCCTCAAGAAACAAAATATTTTAAAAGAAGAAAAGTGAAAAAAAATGTTCTTTTTTGTAGAGCTGCTGGAAATGTTTTGATCTTTTAAAAACCCCTAGACTAAATTAGAGAACTATACCACCTTCCCATTCACATAATAAAACTGTAAGGTCCTTAGTTGAAAACACTACTTCCTTTCTTTAGTTTTAAGAGTAAACTAGTAAGCAGAATTTAAATCTAGATTTAATTGTTAAACATTCTTTCTTCTTTCCATTAGGATCTGTGTAGTTGTATAAGCCTTCAAAAATTTTAGTTCAGTC